GAAGTCCCATTTGACCCAGCTATTCCCCTGCTGGGGATCTTCCCCAAAGAATTAAAAGAATCATACCACAGTGATATATGCACACCCGTGTTCATGGCAGCACAATTTGTAATAGCTAAAACTTGGAAGCAGCCCAGTTGCCCATCAACAGGAGACTGGATAAAGAAAATGTGTTTTTTTGAAAATGGAGTATTATTCAACCATAAAGAATGAGAAACATTTATGGCTAAATGAATGCACGTTGAGTCGATACTCTTCAGTGAAATATATAGGACACACGTGTAGATATCGAATAGTTTCTCTAGTGTGAGAAACTGAAAGTGTAAATAAGGTCTAAATGGTATAATAGGTAATGTGAAATAGGAAGAAAAGGGGCAAAAGGGAAGGGAAAATGGGAGAGGTAGGGGAAAAGAAAGAAGGGAATGGAATTAACATAAGAAAAAGAAAAAATGGAAACAAAGTCTTTGTAGAGAGGGAGGTGTGGAAGGGTTGAAGGGAGGGCAGAGGAATGGGGAAAAAATAAGAACCAAGATGGATTATGTAAAGGTGCAAATTTCCAATGATGCATGCCATTATATTGTATACCTTAAGTGTTCCAATAAAAGTAATAAAAAGCTATCAAGTAATTTTCTGTTCCATAGAAAATAAACAATTGTGACACATACAAAACATTAATTTTTGAGAAATAATAGAAGGACCAAGTTTTGTGAAAAATTATGAAATATTCTCTAATGATCAAAGAAACATTTTAAAATTGTACTTCCTAAATCATGTAAAAAATAGATCAGAATCTTAAAAGGCTTATTTTAAGCAAGAGAGATATATTTCATTGTCCAGCAAGTGATAGGTATTAAATAAAGATATTCTGAAAGAGAACTTCATTAAATATTTCAGATGATTGTATCAGTTTTTATATGTGTTATTAACATAGACAAATAGCAACAATTCCCCCTCACAGGGAATTTTGCTCTTTAAAGTAGGTTTTGATTTCATGCCCTTATGATTTATTATATAAACATCCATAATTTCCAGCAGAAATTGTGTATGCTTCTAGACTTAAATAAAAATTATCAAAGTCACAACTTTTCAAATTAAGTGAATGATGCATAACAAAAAGCAATCATAAATTTCTGCCTTTAAAAGACTGCATGACCTTTCAGTGTGAAGCATCTTGTGTGAAGAAATAATGAAGTGGTGAGTTTTTTGCAAGCATAGCAAAATTCTTGTCATGTGACTCGGGGCAAAAAGTCACTCATTACTAGTCACACAGCAAGTGTCTGCAGAATGTAATAGATTTATGGGAAGCAAGGTGACCACAGATCTAATTTTAATGAAGCCCAGGACATAATCTGAATGGATAGAGTTTGAAGTAAAAATATAATCTATGTAAGGTTAGAGTTATTGTTTGACAGCACAAGAAACATAATTTTCTCTCTGAAAGTTTCTACTTTTCAACAGACAACACTTTTCACTGTTTAAACACTTAAACAGTTAAGTTTACATTAAGGTATCAGGAAAACATTTTCAGAATCTAAAATGAAAATTCTGAATTTTCCCATATGTTGATTTTTTATATATAATTTTCCCTCATGTTATTGTAAATATCTATATGTTAAGGCTAAGGTAGTGGTATGTTTCCATAGTTATTACAAACACAGAAAGTTTGATTAAAAAAGAATACTATCAGGTAGGTGTCACTAAAACACTTCATAAATGGAAAAATATAAAAGTTACTGACCAAAATTCCCCCCCAAATTAAGAAGGAGTATGGAGAAATGCATATTTACTACATAGGGAAATCACTATTTATCATGTCTAAATATGTATGAAGACATAAGTGATTTAACTTGATAACACTTAAATGGCATACCTATACTCTTGAGAAAGAAGATGGCTTAAAATGAAAAAACTTGATTTAGATATATATTTTCCTTACTCATGTGTTGTTTTCCAGAAAGACACAAGTAAGTATGGTATTACATCACCAAGTTACTCAGAGACCAAATTAGCATTTGGATATCAGCTAAGGAGACAATTACCAAGAGGTTTGAATTTTTTGATAACAAAACTTGCAAGTGAGGAATGCATATGTGATAAACATGCATTTTTTCACCCAGTTGGGTGAAGTGATTTAAGCAACATGCTTTAAAAGTGAATGCAATCTACATATGCAACATCTGGATCTCTGAGCTTCTGTTCAGAAACCTGAATGGGAGAAAATACATGTAATTTTCAGTGAAGCAATAGTCATGCTGGTATTGATTTAAAATAAATTTTCTTATTAGACATATATGATGATTTTCTGAAATGGCAGAATGAACTTTCAAAGGATAAAATTTACTACTGAAATAGACAAAAATGAAATGTAGAATTTGGGGAACCATTTTCAGACTTTTTCACAGGTTTAATATTTCAGAGTAGAAAGAAGTTGAGTTACTAGAATGGACAAAAGTAAAATGAGTGAGTTCACTTTTAAGCATGAGGTCCTGAGTTCCATTCCAAGTACCAAAAAAAAAAAAAAGAAAGTCTTTCCTTCTTTATTAACGATCCATTTTCAAGATTAAATTTGAGAAACAGAATCAAACTGCCTACATTGTCAAGATATATTAAACATCGTTAAATTCCGTTTTTTGTTAGTTAAATTTTATAGATTATCATCTTAGACAGGCTACACAGAGGAAATGTATTCAACTTTCTTGAGGAACCTACATCCTTTCTGAAGCTTGTGGCCTTACCTTCTTCACCCTCATAGGCCAGAATGGACCGTGCTCGTATCTGCTTCCCTTCTGTAGTTTTCCCTGAGCAAGTATGAGAGCAGGAGGACCAGGTGGACCATGCACTGAGCACACAGTCCTTTGGGCACGGGGCATCACAGGCCACAGGAATAGGCAGGATGGCATCTCTGCAGAGCTGTCTGTCCACTTCCTCTCCTGGAAGAAACATGATCACCAATAGTGTCTCCTTGTTAGATCTGTGTAAAATCAGCTATCGATACAAGATTGGTACCCAGATGAATTGGCTTACTTCACCTTTGTTTTTAGTTAAAAACAAAAGAAAAAGGACTACTTTACTATAGTCAGTTAAAAGCACATCAGGAATAAACATTGACATCCACACACATGTGTCTGCTCAGGTCTCAAAATAAAAGAGGCTTCTTTTATTATTAGAACAGTAGTGTATAGGTCAAGCATATTACAGAAAGTATTTTTACACTAGAAATGCCTGCCAATGAAGTACCTTTTATACTTATTAATTTGCATCAATGAAATATGTCCTCCTCTTTATTTCTTTATTGATGTGCCATGATTGACAAATAAATAATGACTCCATGGCATGTGTCAAGTTTTCATGAATTAACTCACAGGTATCTCTATACTCTTGTGACTCCCACAGAAGTCACTTTTGTACAATTAACCACCTTTTCTTCATAAAAAATTTTAATTTGTTAATTGGAAGTAGCCAGGAATGTAGATGATAGGATGGCGTAAGAAAGTGACATAGGGTGGTGAAATTGGTAAGGGAGAGAAAAAGATAAGGTAAATTATGGATAGAAGAAAGATGGTGTCACTCTACTGCCAAACAGTCATCAACAGTCTTCTTTAGCTCTTCAGAAAAATTTCTTAAATTTACGGATTTCTTAAGTTTACAAGAACTGGCTTTTATTACTCTCTTTTTGCTCTAAAGCTCTGGAAACTGTCAAATTTTGACACTCATTTAGTATTTGCCAAAAGAATGAAATGAGATATACAAAAGGCCTATGAAAAAGAAAACATTGCTGTTAATAAATGCAAAAGATTACCAAAAGAATTATAAATAAATAACAAGAGGAGGAAAACCCTAATAAGAAGCCTGCACTTAATTGGTTAATTGGTTTAGTTGTTAAAATAAAATGCAAATGATGTCAACAAAATAGACTCAAATACTGAATACACACTACAAACAAGCAAAAATTATCTTGCTATTTTGCCACAGAACATAACCATAATTCTGAATGAATATATTCAAATTGTAAGCCTTGCAGTAGGTGTGGTAAGAGTTACTCACAGTGCTATTCCTTACAACTAACAGACAACTTCTAGTTGTTCCCACTGATGAAGGGTTAGAGCAGCATTCTAATGTACACCTCCTTATTCATATATGTGGAAAACAAGACAGAAAGTCAGACGTCAATTGGAAATACTCTGACGTATTAATAGCTACTAGCTTGTAGGGCCTTCCATCATTAGACAAAATCAAAAGTCAATTGAAATGCACTTCTATGTTAATAGCCACTAGTCGTAAGGTCTTAAATCATTAGACTTGCTCACTAGTAAAGTAGGAAAGGCTCATTAAAATTAAAATTGAGTCACAAGTATAACATTTAGTTTTTTTAGTTACTCTGATCTCTTAAATTCTGCCTTTATTGATTTTGTGTTTTGGAATATATCTCAATAAAACTGTATGCCAGGTAGATGTATAGGTAGGTTAGTAGAGTACAAAAACCATTATTGTAATGCCATTTGATGTTTTATAATTTATATAATAATAGTGACTCATTTGTTTTGCTTATATTCTTTTATTGGTACATTTTAGGTATACAATATGTTTACATTTATCACTGGGTGCTGGTACCTGTACATGATGTATCTTGGTTCTTATTTTTTCCCCATTTCCTGTGCACTCTTCACCCCCTCCACCCTTCCCTATTTACATAGACTTTGTTTCCATTTTTTTCTTTTCTCATAATTTTTCCTTTCCCTTCTTTCCTTTCCCCTTCCCCTCCCACTCCCCATATCCCTTTGGACCTTTGCTTCCAATAGTTACTCATTTTTAAACTCAGCTTTTTATTAACACAAAGTGAATGGTTGCATATATCTTACTTCCTTCATTGCTATTTTTTATTGTACCATTTACTCTCATTTGTTACTCCAATATTCTGTGGAAAATCAGGAAAGTTTAGGACTTTCGTCTACAGTTAACAGGAGTTAAAGTTTTGTGTTTTCTCTAAAAGTTACCCAATCATTATTTCTACTCAGAAAAAATGTAATTAATTCTGTAGTACTTGAGAGTGTGCAACAAGTATGCTTTTAGATTAGCTTGCATGTCATGAGTGATATACTTTTGTTTGTTGTAGGGTAAACCAAATGGATGTACAATTCTGACTTTTCTTGCCTTTCAAGTTAGTCTTTTTTTCCCCAAACTGTATCCCATTGCTCACTGTAGCACTTTTTCAGTCTCCATGCTCTGCTCAGACAGGTGTATTTTCCTGGAGGGACACCCCTTCACCCAGACAGCACCCCTTAATCCTCTGTGGTGTTAAGACCATCTAAGAACCAACTGCTGAGATTTCCCCGGTGATTTTGGGATTATTTCTGCACTCTCTCCTACTTGCAAGGTGTGAATTTGTCTCTCTGCTTCTCTGATCTCTTGGCCATTTAATATTATATTCACATTAAAGCATTATGTTCTAGTCACAATAGCTTTCCCCCCTTTCCTCCAAGAAAAGGTCATTGTTGCTTCTAGGATTTTGTACTTCCTCTTCATTTTGTGTGAACAATTTAGATCTTCACATAGTAGTCTGTTTTTCAACATTTCAGTTTCAGTTCAACTTTTTCCTACCTTGAGGAGATTTCTTAGGCTCTGCATACTCTCCTAATAACTGATTTGTTTGGATTGTAGTTTGAAGTATCATTAGAACTTATTTTGAAAAATTGTTTACCTGTTCATTGTCTCACTCTACCACTGGACTAAATGAAAGCACACTCCTTATCTGTCTTATTACTTTATACTTAGAACCTAGAACAGTGCCTGTTGCATAGTAAGCACTAATATTTTTTCTTGTTAAATGAATAAATGAGTGGATAGATTTTAAGTTGATGTGTCAGCAGACAGAATGTTGGTCTAGACATCAGACCAAGCAGTGTATTTTGAGACAGGTACAGCATTTCTTACACTGTCACACATTCAAGTACTCTAGGACTCAGCTAAAAGCATTCACTGTGCACAGGTGGTAGATCCATCACTTGGCTTTGCTGGAAATTCAGCCTCTTACATCTCACCCATGGAATATTAATTTGCATGTAAAAAATCCCCAAGTGATTTGTATGCATATACAAATTTAAGAAATATTGCTTTCAGCTGTTTTTTCTTTTTACACTTGCTTGTCATGTTAAGGTAGAAGCAGATGGTCTCTTGAAAGTCAGCTGTGTAAAACGATGTCATCTGGATTTCACTTCTCTATGGAATGTTCCTTTATAGCCCTCTGTAACAGAGTAGAGTACATACACTGCTGGCAACACTCATTCAATGAATAGTTATGAAACGCTCATTTTTTATCAGGTTCTAGGCTATAAATTTTGCATACAGCAGCTCAGTTAATTCTCACAATAACACTCTGAATTACCATTGCCATTCATTCATTCATTCATTCATTTTCTGGTGCTGAAGATTGAACCCAGGGCCTTGGGAATGCTAATCACATGCTTTACCCTCAGTTCTGGTTTCTATTTTGTTTTCTTTAAAGAAAATTGAGACTGAACAAATTTAAACTACCTATCTCAAACAGCAGAAGTTTGACTAAGGAGTTTCCCCAATCTACTTTTTAAAAAATTTTTTGGCCACTTTGTGTAAGGATCTTTCTTTATTTTTTGCTGTTTTTTTATTAGTACATGTTTGTAGTTCATAATATTTACATTTTATTGTGGTAATTGGTACACGTACACTATACATTTTAATTCCTTTTTTTATCCCCTATCCTTCCCCTCCTCTGTCCTCCATTTCTTGATTCCCCTCCCCGTTGAGAAAGATCTCCCTACTTTCTATTATCTGTCTTTTATTTTGCTTTTTATTTATATTTTGGGTTTCTCATGTAAGAGAAACTATGCAAATTACTTTTTAAGTATTATGGTGGCAGGAAATACTCACAATGCCAAGGCAGTTAAAGGATGATCTTATGTCTATAGAAAAGTCAAGAAAGGAGCACTTTCAAATTGTTTCACAACAAAGTGGTGCATGGCGACAGGCACATATTGCCTCAGATACAAAGAGACAGGTCCAGGGTTTTATGTTCTTAGAACAATGAGCGATCAGGTATAGATCTGTGAGGAAACACGGTCATTCAAATCTCTGACTGTGTTTCAATAAATGCTTTAGTCAACTCAGATAGTTGAAGCCCATACAAAGTGTGTTGTTTTTAAGCTAAATCTCCAACACTACAGGAATAAAGCACCTGGAAAACACTAGATAAATACACTAGATAGATCCATCCATACATACATCCTGGACATGTTAGATCTATGGCCATCACAGGCAAGTCCAAAACTTTTCATCTCCAGGGACTTTGTGAAGTTTTTACTTTAATCTTACTTTTTACATAAGAAATGACTTTGAAAATAAGGTAAGAAGAGTAGTAGGAATTTTATTCCTTCACCATCTTCAAACTAGCTTCCTCTTAACATTATTTTGATCCAGCAAGTATTGTTTTGTATAAGACTGCTTTAGAGAATATATAGGTGTAAAATAAACACAGCCATATCCAAAGATCAGACTAGCTTATAATCTTCCTTATTGAGAAATGGAAATTTTGTTGTTGAGTACTTTGAAAATTTCACTTTTCAAAATATCAACCTATGTACACTTAGGACACACTCAACCACTAGATTTTCTAGGATAGGTTCATTTGAGATATTGATTGTATCAGTGTGTAGCCCATTAATCTGGGTGAACATATCTGATTGTCACTTTCATGATAAAAAAACCCCACAACAGTATAACTTGCTTTTATTCTCTAGTCTCTCTGCAGGCAATTTCTTAGCTAGAGTCTGACCATGACATCATGAACATTTTGATTTCTCCTTGTGTGAACCTCTGTGTATCAAATACACTATCTTTTTGCCATATATTTACCAACATAAGTAATTCCAAAGGATTGCTTTATATTTAGTTTATTTTT